ACCCTTATTCTATTAAATAATATATTTAAAAGAAATTCTTATTTGACTTATGTCGTAAAATCGACTAAGTTTCGAGACACTGTAAGTAGCAAACTCAACTGATTGATATAGTATTTTTAATGACAGTGTAGTATTATGGGTATCCAGTGCATGGAATCTTAGAACAAAAAAAATTGGTCCTTATTTTCAACCATAGACAAACGGTACTTTAGAATAACATTTGTTATTACACTAAAGAAAGCAGTAGATGAGGTCAAACCTAGTAAGCTTAACGGGTATGAAGCAGCAAAAAATATAACATACCCCGCACTACTATTTCTGATAGAGCGAAAAATAAGAGAGGGCCAACTGCATTAAATAGAGAATTTGAGCTCAAACTAGCTAATGACTTACGGGTGATAGAAAAATATGGTTTTGGGCTTTCATCTAAGGAAAAGCTAGATTCATTCAGTATACATGTTAGTCAAAATAATTACAAAATAACAGGCCCGGATACGACTGGTTTGCGGCTTTTAAAAGAAGACAAACTTTCTCTAAAAAAAAGAAACCCACAAGCAGTGGAGATGTCAAGGAAAACGGCAGCTGACCCTTTTATTGTAGATATCTTTTTTGACATTCTTGAAGAAGTTTTAAACGAACTTGATTTGAAAGAATGACCTGACAAAATATGGAACCTAGATGAATCAAGTTTCGGAAAAGACCCTGAAAAAACAACTAGTTGGTGCACGTGGATATACCAGTACTTGTACAATTGCATCATCTGAAAAAGATAATGTTACTATTGTATTTGCAGCGAATGCAATGGGCGACAAGTTGCCTCCACTAATTATAAATCGTGGCAAAAATACTTGGGATCAGTGGATGTCGGAGCATGGTTATAAAAATACATCATATGCTGCCACAATGGCTAGATTGACTCTAAGGTTTATGAGAAATACATATTTAATACAGTTCTACCAAGCCAAGATCGTCCTGCACTATTAATATTAGATGGCCGTTCCACCCATATTCAATAAAAAAAAATTAGACAGAGCATAAAGTCTAGACGTGACCATAATCAAATTACCGTCACATGTAAGTCACATGTAGCAGCCTTAAGATTTAGCAGTATTGAAATCCATGAAAAATTCATGGGATGGAAAACTTGTTAACTGGCAACGACTAAATGTCGGCACCAAGTTACCAAAAGATGAATTTAGTAGACTCATTGGTGAAGTATGGCGTGAGCTAGATCCAAAAATCAAAAGAAACGGTTTAAAAAAGGCGGCATATTGCCATTTAACAGGAACGTCATTGCCGACGAAATATTTCATGCGGAGACTTTAAGAAAATTTCGTACTTTTAATCATCAAAGAAAGAAATTCCATCACTGAAATACTTGAGTTTGCAAGTAGTATTCCAAAATGCAAGTGCACTCAACGCATTATATGCAATTTACACAGCAAACAAAAACTATCAGAGTGTTTGTCGTCGTGATTTCCTGATCGACTTGTCTCTGGCATGGATGAAACCATTGGCTCAGAAGAGAATTGAAAAAAAAAATCGTTGCCAAGGTCCCTAACAATAGGGATAAAAGACTCATGGGGCCGTATTAATAAACGTTACTCAGCTTAAATACAAGCACTTGAGTACGATATTGAGATTATGATCTTATTAATAAACATATCTCAAGATGCGGTTTAGGTTTACGATATCAGCTGAGTGCCACATGGATTAATAAACGAAACTCGACTCTCAAGTGTGTGTACTTGAGTGCAAGTCACAGAACAGTATTTCCTAAGTACAGTATTTTGAGATACTGTTTTTATTTGTTTATTAATTAGCAATGATCTTGAGATGCTGATATCGTAATGAGGGCTTATCAAATAATTACGCACTTGAGTTCGTCGTTGACTAACGTTAATTAATACGGGGTGATGTGAATGCAGAAAGGCAACCACCAACCTCGGAGGCGATGTCGAGTAGTGCGCCGTTGTCATGATTGTGGAATAGCGCATCATAAAACAAGCGAAAGTCGTGCAAAGCGTGCAAAAAGTTTAATTGTAGAGGTCATTCCAAGATAATGTGTCTTTCCTGCACAGACATTATTATAGTAATTAATTTGTAGTAAATAGGTATCTTGCGATTTCAATTCGAGCGAAAGCTGTGATTTTTGTGCCAATTTAGAGAAGAGTTTTATTTTTATTTATCAATTATTACACAGAGGTTATGATTAAGTTTTATTGAATGTATCTAGTTAAGAAAACTGTATTGACTATATTTTCATTAGTAAAATAAAGAAATAATATTAAAATATTATTTTTTTTTCATTTTAACAATGGACTACATTTATAGTTCATGCGACTACTGCTGTCTCATTTAGATACGCGACTCCTGAATGGCTAAAAAGTAAATAAATTTCAAACTCTAAACTACCGTGTTCGTATTGGTTGTTCTAAGATACCTGTCTAATGCGTAACATCCTCTTAGTAGTCTGTAATACCTTATACCTTATATCTTACATTGCTAAATTATATTAGAGAGCTTAATAGTAGTCAAGGCATTTCGAAGCTACTTTAGGCTTTATATATTATGAACTAGTATCACCTGTGTCACACATTAAAACCAGTTCTCTACCGTCTTCAAAAGGGAGACAGTATTCAATTCGACTGTATGTTTTTTTTTATGTGTGTTACCTCATAACTTTTTACGATGATTCTTTTAGCTGGTGCTTCTCATGTAGTCCCATATAAGTTTGATCAAGATTTGACCAATAGTTTTTGAGTTATTCTTAATAATTTATATTGAAGTCGGTTGTACAAAATTTTTAATTTTTAATTATCAATAAATAGCAGCAGATAATGTATATCTCTATAGTCACTGATCATTATGAAACAGTCATCCGTGTGTTTACTTAAAAATATTATGGGCATTTCCACCAAAATTTATCTCATGCAAATTGTGAGCACCATATTTTTTTAAAAAACTTGAACAGACAAAATTACACATTAAAATGTTATGGTAGTACTAATTTATGTTTAATATTACATGTAAATATGGCCGAATATTAAATAAATGAAATATTATAACATCTTCATACAGTTCTGCCCTCAAAAACTATGATTTGTTTGTTGCGTTATACATTAAGTCATTTCAAAATGTCTTAAAAGTACTCATTATGCGATACATTGTACATTTTCCAACCCAATCAACCAGTTAAAAAAGGTCAAAATCGGCTAATTCGATTCTTTATTTCATAATTAATTAAGAGCCCCTAGCATTTTATGCAACCTAACATATCAGGATTTATTTTAGATTTAAATTAAATAAATTGAGTAAATATAATTGATGGTTTAATAGATAACATGTTTTTTACAAATTGTTTTTGGCAATGTTTTAATGTCAATTTTTAACTTTTATTTACAATCTAATACTAGTTAAAAACAGTTAAAATCGGCTTAGTGTAACCCTAACTTTACCTGGTTAGTTTTGTTTCCGATATGTCAGGTGTAGTTACGGCCCACAGCTTGGTTAGAAGTTTTTTTTTTTATAGAAGAGGAGGCAAACGAGCATGCGGCTCACCTGATGGTAAGTGATCACCGTCGCCCATGAACATTCGCAACACCAGGGGATTTATAGGTGCGTTGCCGGTCTTTTAGGAAGGAGTAGGCTCTTTTCTTGAAGGTCCCTTCAAGAAAAGAGCGTATCGATCCGGAAAAACTGCTGGCAACAGTATATTCACAGATCGTGCGAGACAGAAAATTACGCGTAAATTGCACAGTAGTGGACCACCAGCCATTGAGATGATGAAGATGGAATTTCGTGTTCTGTCGCAGTGTACAATGGTTGAATTCAGCAGCTGAAATTAATCCGAACAATTTCTCTTACCGCTCCCCGTGATATATGTGGTAGAAGATGCATAGAGGTGCAATGTCTCTTCGCAAGGGCAGTGAATCGAGAAGATTGGAAAGAACTCATTGAGTTTTCTTATTTTATAAATTATTTTCTTTTTTCATTGTCTTACACTGATATTAAACAAATCAAAATTTTTCGTAAATAAGAAGCCTTTTGCGCTTAGCAGTCACAGTAGTGAAACAATTAACAACATATTGCATTATAAACTAGTCTTTATAGGCTTAAAAATTTATGACACAGAAATTTTAAACTGTGGTACCTTTTTTGGTGGAAATGCCCTACTGTTTGATGGATATTCATTTTTATCATCATTTAAATAATTTCTTGAGGAAGTTCTCATATACAATACATGCATATTTAATGTAAGGATAGTAATGAAAAGTAAGCAGTTTGTTATCACGTAAAAGGTAAAACCACATTGGTAAATAGCAAAGTTGTTGCAAATTTCTAGTTTTATTATAAACATTATCTAAGTACATTTTAAATCAGCATTTCTAAATAATCAATTTTCACTGGGAATTTAAATACAAGTGTAACAAGTAACAACCTAATGATATTCTATAAAATCAGCGAGCTCTATCCCTCAATTAATGTGTAGAAATAATGTCAATAATCGAAAAAACGGAAATGAAAATGTTACTCTCACACTAGAGATTTCTTCTGTACAGTGCAGATGTTTTGTATTCATAGATAAATTGCATATAAACAAATAACCAGAACAATAATTATTACAACAGTTACCGAGTCATCAAATAAAAAATCAAGTAAGATACCTGGTAACACACTTGACTGGAACAAATTCTGAACAAGTTTAGAAAGAGACAGCATGACGACAACAAACATAATATAACCTTCAAATCTCCAACTAATAGTGTTACTCATTTTATTTATGAACTAGCTGTTCCCAACATGGTTTGCAATGCCAGAAATATTAACGAATATGTGCTAAATAGCTCACCAAAGTTTCGTCGTAATTGGATGAATGGTATAAAAAAGGCATATGGGACAAACAAAGTAACATTCATTATATATATAAATAACAAAAATCTAACCTGTACACCAATAGGCACTAAGATTTTTATGCAGTCACATGAACAAAGTATCTATTAGCTATTCTGTGGCACCACATTTATAATGATATCACCGGCCACACCATCTCTATATCCATTACTATTAACAGTGATTGTTATTTGTCTGTCTGTGTGACTTATAGGCTCTTCAGGTATTGCGGTGGTGGGCTCCTCGGCTGATTTTAGTACTACAACGGGAGCCACCATTCCTTTCCCAATTGGTACGGTTGGGGTTTCCTCGCCCTTGATGTAATGAATTGGGTAATGTTTCTTTAAATCCCTCATCAGTCTGAATTTCATGCTGCACTCCGTGCATCTAAAAAATAAAGTTATATGTGGTATCATCCATTATATCCATTATATGTCGAAGAGCCATGCTGTAGCTACATAAGTAGTCGTTGTAGAATGAATAGGTTGGCTCCCTGACCACACTTTCACAGAATACCAACGTATAATAGCAGCTTAACACTGCTGTGTTTTACAGGGTGAGTGTAGAGAACCGGAGACCGATTTTACTGGAAACAAGGCATTCCATCTTAGTCTTCACGGGTGACACAGCATGTGCATTTTGGTTCGTATACGAGGATAGATGTAGATGTCTATGGGCCACAGCAACCACTTATAATCAAGTGGACTGTATGCTCGTTTGTCACCCTTATCCTATAAAAAAAACTTATCTGTTCAGAATGAGAACACAAGAACACGATTGGGTGTGTGAAATGCTGTTGTTGTCATGACAAGTTTCTCTAGGTCTGGAAGCGCTATGAAATGCGTTTTGAATAAGAGAGAGGTCCTATAAATCACAGGTTTTAAAATTTTTCAAGGTAGTAGAAATATTTTAGATACCCAGGAAACCATCTGAGTAGATACCGGCAGGATACAAGGGGGTGCAAGTGCACCCCCTTGTATCCTGCTGCCGGCGCCCATGAACTCAATATTAATTTTAGTTTGTTATATTATGTACTAGCTGTTCCCCGCGACTTCGCCCGCGCGTAATTTATTACGAATGGATTTCATAGGTTTAAATTTTTTGCGCGGAACCCTAATTCTTTTTCTAAAATAAAAGTATCCTAAGTTACTTCTTATATAACATCAGCTATCTGCCAGTGAGTCCGGTCAAAATCGGTCCAGCCGTTGAGATTAGCCGGAACAAACAGACAGACAGATAGACAGACAGAAAGACAGACAGACAAAAATTTTAAAAATCGTATTTTTGTTATAAGTACCTTATATACTTTCATATGCATATAGTAAAAAGCTGTTATTTCGACATTACAAACAGACTTCAATTTTATTTATTTGTATAGAGTATAGATGTATAGATATAGATAACCACTCAAACGTCCATGGATACTATGGTATCCAAAATAAAAGTAGCGTTGTACGTCCTGGATACTATAGTATCCTTAGTGTCAAGTTTTATAAAACTGACATCTATGGACAGCTGCGGTTATTTTTGTGAGTTTTGTATATGGAGTCGATAGCCGATGAACTATTTTACGTACTAAATACGAGATGGCAGTGTAACAAGCCCTGACGAATGAACAAATAATTATCTAACTTCAGTGCTTCAGTTCACTCTACACTCGGTGTAGTGCCAGCGATTATGTGGTAAGTATTTCAGTTTTATTTAATTTATTTATTTATTTTATTTATTTATTTATTACTCACCACAAACGACATGGACATTGGTTACATTAGTGTTACATCTCTATTTAACAATATTATGTCATTCGTGGGAGACTGGTGCCCGTGTAGGTTCAAAGACCCGTATTACAGGTCACCAGGCCCCCCCCCCCGAATTTACTAGGCACTTAGTATAATATACAGAGATAACTTATGTTATGATTAGAAATTATATTATATATAGCCAATTTAATATTTCTTAGATTATTATACATCATAGTAAACTAGATGATTCGGGCTTTATAATTACGTACACATATCACAGTTCTAAGTGTAAAATCGAGTCATATTTTAAACTCAAAGTACAACTGTTTAAAAAAAATGGCCATTGTGAAGTCGTCGGCCCAATTTTAATTTTATTTACTTTGTTTTTCAGTAAAATTATATTTAAGCAATGAGTGATAGTTCATAATAAATATAATAATGCACTTTAAAAACAGAATTAAACCATATTCACTGAAGATTCCTTAAAAATGTTATTGTGTTCCTCAGGTCTTTTGTTGTGGTTAGTTTGGTATCCATGGACGTAACCACAATTATTATAAATAAAGGTCGGTGCAAATAGCAAAATATGTTTGCAATATGTTTTGCTTTGTTTTTTTTTTGCAGCCTGGTTTTTGGTTGGTTTGGGTTGAGTTTTTTTTTTCGCTTGGTGTTTCGTCATATCTCATAGTTTTAGTTCTTGTGTTATAATAATGTTATTTTTGTTTACGATTGTCGACTTTTACTCTTTTTATTTAACTTCACTTTACTTATATGGAGGATGTGTTCTGCGATTTCAACTCACTTGATTTTCCTTGTTACGTATTGACAATAATTTAATTATCATATTTAATAAAAATCATTCATTTTTCGGTATATAGTTTACGCTTGGCACAATTTGTTTAAATAATGGATGATAATAATATGGTTTTGTGAAAAAAAAAATACATTTATTATGTCAATAAACTTGATTTTATTACTGGTGTTTAATTTAAAACCTCAACAAAAAAAAACTCATAACTACCCTTTTTTAAGTTGCTTAAATTACAAAGTGTGAATGAGACTTTAGATAGGCGGCCATCTTGCTTATATTTTGCCTTCGCGATCGAGGCGAAAGCGCTCGAGGCCTTGCGGTAAAATTACGAGGAGTAGGTGTTTTGTTACGATTTATTTAACTACTTAGTCTTAATTAAACATAGACACCTATGAATCATAAGGAAGATAAATACGTCTAGTCTTTTGTGACATTGAATTATTTGTTAAAAATACAATATTTCTTCGTTGTGATGTAAATTAATAAAATATATACGTTTATTTTTCTCCGAATTCAATTGTTCACACCTATTTTTAATATCTTAAATTATTATTTTAGATCTTAAAACATACATAGGTTTAATTTGTATTCTTCTATCATTTTTTCGTAGTTTTTTTCTTTATTCTAAGCTATTATAGTTAAGTAGCTATGTAGGTTTTTTTGTTACAAGATGAGTGCGCGGTAGCAGCAGAATCAGGGCCGCGCGTATCTTGACATACAAGGGTACAACAATTGCGCGGGCTGGACGCTTGAGTGGATAAGTAGATAAAAATACATACTGATAAATGTTTTGTCCGACGTGCATACGCATATGTTTCGCCACATCGTTGCTCTGCGTGAAGGCGCGGTCACAATACTTGCAGCGGTATGGTTTCTCTCCAGTGTGAATACGCTTATGTCTTTTTAAGTGGTCATTACAAGAGAACCTGTAAATATTTTTTTTAATGTTCTATTCCATACACAATAACTACCCTCATGAATATTTTGCAGCCTAATAAAATTACTTGCCATAATTATTGAGTTATTTACAGTATGGTGGCAGTGTAAGAAAACACATCACTGCATTTTGTCTGGTGTGTGTCAAAAAGCCTAAGTGTGGACGACGACTTACGACACTAATATCTCTACACAGAGTAATGTGTCTTATTCAGTTTCTTCAAATCTAATCAGTGTAGAGATCGTCTAATTTTTAATGTCTCCCTTGTATTGTTTTAGTATAAACCTTGTATGTTTTATCACTTTTATTATGGCAATGTTGCAGTTTAAAATTACATGATCTCTACAACTAATATAGTTTATATGTGTCTATATGTGGTAGAGCCACACTGCAGCTATATCAGTAGTATAGTTGTAGCACGAATGGTTCGGCTCGACCGGGGAAGGACCACGCTCTCACAGAATACCAGCGTGAAATAGCAGCTTGATGTTGCTGTGTAGACACTCACCACACGAGAACCGGAGACCCTTTTTACTGGAAATGAGGCATTCTATCTTAATCCTCACGGGTGACAACGCATCTGCATTTTGATTTGTAATAGAGGATAAATGTACATGTCTATGGGCCGCAGCAACCACTTACCATCAGGTGGATTGTGTGCTCGTTTGTCACCCTTTACTATAAGAAAAAAAGTTCAACAATCGTGACCTACAGAACTAAGGCAGGGACCTTCACTACTGTGAGGAAATTCAAGTTGTTCAGGTAGCTATGGAGTTCTTCCTGCACATTACGAGTCCATAGTTAGCAGTAGAACAAGAGTATCTAACAGTGTCTATGGATTAGGCTCTGTGGTGCAGTGGTTTAAAAATGAATTGCAGCACTTAGAGCCACGGGTTCGAATCCCACATGGAACAAGCATTTGTATGGTTCTTCTGAAATTTATTGCTCCCACGATACAGGATAAAATCCTAGTGTGGAGATAACCCTTATTAAAGAAAAAAAAATTATGAAGCTGAACTGACTGAGCCATCATATAACTCGAAGAACTAACAACCAATAGGTAAGAAAGATTCTCATGTGGCATTCTTAGTCTAACAAGCGCAATGATAAAAAGTATTATTTTATAATCTATGGTGAATAATTATAAATTGAATAATCTCACAGAGTACCAGTGTAAAATAGCAGCTTTTTAACTGCGTGTTTTGTATTGTAAGTGTGGTGTGAACAGGAGACCCTTTTTACTGGAAACAAGGCATTTTATCTGTCCTCAGGGTGTGACATGCATCTGCATTTTGATTCTTAAATGAGGGTGGTAGATATAGATGTCCAAGGGCCATAGCATTCACTTATTCTATAAAAAAATTGTTCTATTCCATTCTACTACTAGATGTGAATAAATTGAGACATACAGGAAAACATGTGGTTCTGAACCATGACTTGTGGCCCTTGGTGGAAGCCTATGTCGAGGATTTCTGATGGGCCACAATGATGATAATGAGCTTAACCTGTTAAATTTTACTCACCTCTTATTACAGGTATCACAGGCAAATGCTTTAATATCAAGATGTATAAATTTATGTTTCTTCAATGAATTGAGCTTTGTAAAGCTAGCGCCACACTCGTCGCATTTGTGAGGATGGGCACCGGTGTGAGTTGTTAAGTGACCCATCATTTGACCTTTAAAATAAACATCAGTAAAGTCAAAAAAGACTTAAACATTCCGCATAATTAATCATTATCGCCATCATCATTATAGCATATCAAAAGACCAGTGGCAAACATAGGCCACCCACACAATTTTATTATTTTATTTTTGAGATGAGAATGCCTCGTTTCCTGTAACAAGAATCTCTGGTTCTCTACAATGACCATATGAAAGACAGCAGCATTAAGTTGGTATTTCACACTAGTGAGTGAGCCGTGGTAGCTCAGATGGTTAGCGCTCGCTGTAAATTTCACAGTAAGCGAGCAACTCGAGTTCGATCCCCGCCAGCACCAATGAAATTATTAATTGCAATTTTAAGTGCTGATATACCACGTGCGGTGAAGGAAAACATCGTGAGGAAACCTGCATGTCTGAGAAATAAGAAAAAATTCGAAGACATGTGAAGTTCGACAACACACATTGGGGCAGCGTGGCGGACCTTTCCTTGCCCTAAAACCCTCTCAGAAATTAATGAGGGGAGGCCTGTGCCCAGCAGTGGGACGTGTATAGGCTGTAACTTTAACTTTTAACATTCACACTGGTATTCTGTGAGTGTGTCGTACTTCCCTGGTTGAGCCTACTCATTTGTGTTACAACCATAATATAACTTCAACCTGACTATCATGTATAATAATTTAAAATTTAAAACTTTGTACAGCCAACTTTAATATAAATTATTAAGAATCAGTCTCTCCCCTTGGTCAAATTCATATGGGACCACATGTAAAGTACCAGCTTTCAAATAAAAAAATCAAATCAAAATCGGTTCACCCAGTAAAAAGTTATGAGGTAACACACATAAAAAAGAAACATACAGTCGAATTGATTACTGTCTCCTTAAAATAGTAAATTTATGAAATTGCACACATGTGTATATTTATAATAAACATATAAAAATATATAATATTTAGTCTACTGATGAACGCACACCTCCCCCACTGATTTCCTTATATGTGGGATATTTGCCACAGCTATTTAGATATTTGACATTGGCAAGTGGGTTGGCAACCAGTGTATTTCATTATTTTGAGTTGTTATCCGGAAGATACTGCTGCCCATTTCCTGTTTCGTTTCCCTCCCTCTGTCGCCTCTGATTACAACCACGGAATAATATGTGGTAGTGGATTTTTTTTCGCCGCAACTACTACACGGCGATTAAACGAATATGTAGAATATTATATGCACTACAAGTTTATATCAAAACAAAAAGATGTTGTCCATATTTTTAAAGTGTGACCTTTTAAATTTAACCATTGTGATAATATACGGCTTTCATTTTCAAATACAATTGAGTGAATATGCATTAAGTTATTTATGTTATATAGAAATTTATTACTAAATGTGCCCCATAAATTGCAATCCTCTTTTTGTCCGTTTTTTTGTGGTGTAAAAATTCATATTTCAGTATGAATGTGTCTCCTTGCCTGGAATATTCCTTTCTAAATTTCTCTCTCACAATTACCACTCTAAAATATCTGCAAAATTCTGCTGATGTGATGAGGAAACCTATCAGTGAAACGTTCCATCATAGTACTCATAAGCGACAACGTATCTGCATTTTGGTTCTTGCATCAGGTGGATCACACAAACAACTGTAAAATTAGTTTTATTCTAGTTTATTTTAATCATTCTCACCTTTAGTAGTGAAAGTTTTTGGACAAAATGTGCAAGCAAAGGGCTTAATACCCGTGTGCCTATTCATATGTTGACGTAGATTGGAATTACTTGAAAAACTTTTTCCACACTCGGAGCATAAGTACGGAGCTTCTTTGGTATGTACACGGAGATGGTCTTTCAAACTACACAACTGGAAAAATCCTGAAATTCAATGAATAAAAATTATTACTTAATAATTCCTTAACTACAAACAGAAATTTAACTACAAAGAGAAAAACTAATGCAATAAAAGTCACAAGTTATGGTGATATAGTAATTCTCTAACTTTTTTTAAAACTTCATATATATAGTACATAATACTTATTGAAAGTCATTTTTTTACTTTTACCCGAAGTTTTAAGTTTTAAGTCGAAAAGCTTGGCATACCCTATTAAATTAACTACTCCAAACATACACTGATTATGAGATAAGATTTAAAGTTTCGTATGCTAATCTAGTCTATATGTGAACTAGTTAGAAGTTAATATTTAAATTTTCACACAACCCTCCAATTTTTAATATAATACAATACAGACAGGAATACAAAAAGAATGCACTATTGCTTGGCAGCACAAAAAAGGGAGTGCTAAGATCATGAAACCTCCAATGATTTTTATGCCAGATCTAAAATTTTCAGTGGAATTAGGTACATGTAATCTCTAAATACAATAACAAAACTTATATAAATGCAGATTATGTTAGGAATACTCTTACTGTAATATTTATGGTTCTCAGTATTAAGCTTACAAAATTTTATAATTTTTTATTGTATATTACTCTATTAAAATTAGTACTAAGTAAATTTTACATTCAAAATCTTCTTCATCATTTCAAATATCCATCCAGCTCTTGTTGTAGATAGGATTTGCCTTAATTGTTATACTTGGCAAGCATATTGACCATCCACATTCCTGATAAGCTACACCTTTGATGCTGCTTATTTTCACCAATTCGGGTAAAATAGGTCTGACATACAAGTAGCGGCACGAAAGTCTAGCGGTGACTGCTATTGCGCATAAGTCGCTCTGATTGGCTCCAGTCGCATTTGTGCAATTCAATTTGTGCGCTTCCTCTCCACGTTTCGTTCAGTGCTAGACTTACGTGCTGCAACTTTAATGAAGGTTATGTCCCACATTTATTAGAAGCCGTAAGATGTTTTTGCCAATGCCACAATACAATGAAAACAAAAAATTTTTTTGTTTATTTTTAAGATCCATTCAGTAATATTAGATTCAGCTGCAACCCAAAGGTGAAAGAGATATTTTATTCTGTCCTCTCTCTCTTCTCCACTATTTGAAAAACTGAAGTTTGTATGTTTTTAAAAAAAATATTTTTGAACAAATCTAGTATTATGACAAATTCTGTTTAATGAATACATGCATTTAAGATATGCCAGTGCATAGCAATACATGAAACATATTTTAGTGGCAATTTAATATCCTAACCTATAAAATTACAAGAATTTCACAAAAAGGATACTTATTTCAAAAATATTCAAGTAAATTATTATATGTAAGTTGTGACAGTTTTATCAATTGTATTTAAGGAACATTATTTACCTTTATTGCAATATGTGCAAATGTGGGTTTTAACTTTATTATGTCTCTTCATATGCTCCAGTAATTGGTCTTGTCTTGTATATCTTTTTGGGCATTTTGAACATATGTACGGTCGATCGATTGAATGTAATTTCAAATGTCTTTTTAAAAGTGGTTTCATAGAAAAATCTTTGCCACAATAATCACATTCAAACCTAGGATTACCATCATTTTTTAAATTACAGTTCCTGTGTTTTCTTCGATGTGATATGAGCGATCTCTCTTTATAAAATATTTGATTGCATTCATTACATTTATATTCATCTCTACTATCTGTTTCAATATCTAAGATTGCTGATTCACTAACATTATCATCTAAGCTATCAGTGAAGTCAGGTTCTAATTTCACCTCAACATCAAGTTGCCTGCTGAAAGATGATTCATCATGGGTTGCTAAGTGATTTAAAAACCTTTTGTGACTAACATATTGCTTTTTACACTTGTCACATACATATAAATTTGCCTCAGTTTTAGTTTCAAATTTAGGACTTTGAGAGTTTGTTGAACAAATTTTAATACTTTCATAAGTTGGTTCTACACATGTAGCATCATCCTTCAATTCTTCTTTTAGAGTACTTTGTAACAACACTAACTTTTTCAACTGCTCTTCACATTTCAGAGCATTATTACGGAATATAACAAACATTTCAAGAATGTTAACACACTCACTGCAGATACTTCGTGGCAATCCGTCATCTCTTGATACCTATGAAAAAGATATGAATTAATTCACTCTGAATTTATTTAGTATACAATTCTTAGGTGTATATAGAATGTCACCTGAGTTGCTGTAGTGATCATCAGGATATCGGCTAGGAGAATATTATAATTATCCTCAATTTTTAAAGGCCCAAACAAATCTACCAGATTATCAGAACTTTTCATACAAGTTCGACATGTAATTGTTAAATCCACCATGTTTGAATATTAACATAATATCCAGCAACAAAACACTTAATAACTGTATATAACGTAATAAAAGCAAGACTAAATTATAATTTTAGACAAGACAAGCTATAATCACAAGTTTACAATTTCAAATTCTTTTTTTTTTGGAGTTTATAGCCTGGCATCTAGACCTTTAGGCCAAGTCTTGTGTATCAATTTCAAATTTATAGTCCATACTCCATAGATAAATAAATATGCAGCAAGCTATTAAACCACAGAGCACTACATAACGCCCGCTTTTCACTATGGGAATGGGATATAATTAGGCATGAGACCAATATATCAAAACGTAACTAATAACGTTATATCATCAAATATCATATCATATCGATAAACCTAAGTACATAACCGTTATCACATATCTAACCAAAACCAACTAACCAACATACGAAACGTAAAACGCAAACTGGAACCATATGCCAACACGGCCCACAAACTAACCGATGTCCTTCGTTGATACTCGTTGTTTCTCTTTCTTGCGAAGGTGTCGTAAATACATATAGAAAAAGATGAAGCGAATATGGGTTTCGTTGCGATGATTTGGTAGTTATCACACAACGGCGCACGTAGTGAAATATAATTTTATCAGTAAGGTCGAATTTTAAATGATTAATATTGCCTAATTTTTAAGTTTGTGTAGTCGTGAGAGTTGTCAAATTTAAATGATCTTTAGGTCATTAGCCAGAAGACTTATATTTGATTTAGGCAACTTTTTGTTTATGTTTTGAATGGAATGGCATTGAAATTATCTGTAAAATTATTAATTTTTGACGTTGCAGTTTGTGCATTTATTTGTAATATTTGTGTTCATTTTGTACATTCGTTTTAAAACTTTTCTGCTGGTCTTAAACTTAGTTAAGTATGAAGTAAAATCGCCAACTTAAATAATCATTAATAAATAAACTACCAAAAATAATTTTCTATATAATATATAAATTATGTTTACTACTTCTGAATACACTTTAATTATTGACTTTTAAATCAAAATGTGATCCTACGTCTCACTTTAAAAAAAAATTGTATAAACTATAGAAATAAATAAGGTTAGAAAGAATGTAATTTTAGACATTTATAATACTATATTACTGAATAACAATGAATTTACATAAATTATAAATTAACATATCATGTCTAAATATTACATCATCTAAGATTATATTAGAGCCTCTGACTTCTAAACTAAAATAATCAAAGTAATTCGTTAATTAAATGTTGCACTGATTCACAGAGTACATTATATATAGGGGGCACTGATTCTATAGTTTTCTGTTATAATAATAATAATAATAATAATTTATTTAATACAGACAATACAGATCCATTACAAAATTAAAATTAATTTTTTTTAAACTATACCTTAAATTTTAATTATAATTATTGGTTAATCAATGATATTATTACATTTAATAATAACATTTTAATAAATTTGACCATCTACTAAAAATTTCACTACATGCATACATGTAGTGAAATTTTTGTGATGTAATGTGGAAACGCGCAGTACGCCTCTCGAAAATCGGCCGCGACTCCCGCGCATACCCCTAAGCAAGCGGAATCGGGCTGTCGTGAGGGCTCTCAACCCAATGCTGGTGACCTATTTGGAAGCCAGCCGGGACCTTTGCGAGACGGACTCAATTCTTTATGGCGCCGCACTGGCAGTTTGCCGTATTGTTGGCGCCAAACTTCCCATGGCTGGACGCGCTACTAGACGCCAAAGTAGCGCCATCCCAGCCTGGAGAAGAAGGATTGAGGACCGTATCGTAAAGGCAAGGGCCCTCATCGGCAGGCTGATAAGCTTCAGGTCGGGCAATAATAGGCCGAGAATTGTGCGCACCGTCAAAATGGCGTTTGCTGGGACAAATATCAGTTTGTCCCAGCCGGATATAACGCAAAAACTGACGGAGCGCATAGACGACCTGAAGCAGAGAATCGCTGCATGGGGGAAGCGGATTCGGCGATATACCGAGAGGTCGACACGGTTCAACCAGAATCGTCTCTTTCAGAGTGATCAGAAGAGGCTCTATGAATCATTGGAGCGGTTAATGGTACGTGAAACGGGCCCAGCACCGAATCAGGCCGACACTATCGCATTCTGGCGCGGCCTGTGGTCAGAGCCCGTAAACCACAGCGAGGGCCCTTGGACGGAAGTTGTGGCGAGTCAGTGTGCGAATATTACGCCCATGGACCCCGTCATCATAATGCCGGATGACGTAGTTGAGGCGGTCCGTAGAGCCCCGAACTGGAAATGTCCGGGGCTCGACGGGCTGCATCACTACTGGTTGAAGGGGTTCGTGGTGTGTCACGCTGTGCTCGCCCGACAGTTTCAAGAGGCTCTCAACCAGAAGTCGCTCCCGAGCCTCTTCACTACTGGGATCACTCATTTGGTTCCTAAAGATCAGGATACCACAGACCCGAGCAAATACCGCCCCATCACGTGTCTACCCACGATATACAAGACACTAACATCCATTTTGAGCGCGAGAATCAATCGTCACCTGAACTCAAATCAGGTGATGTCGCGCGCTCAGAATGGATGTAGGAGCGGTGGTCGTGGAACCAAGGAACCTCATTGACGCGGTCATTGGCAAGGTGGTTAGTCGCAACCGTCGGAACCTCTCCGCCGCCTGGATAGACTACAAAAAGGCATTCGACTCGGTGCCTCATGCATGGCTTAAGAGGGTCCTCGAGCTGTACAAGATTGACTGTACAGTTAGAGACTTCCTCGGGCAGTGTATGGGGCAGTGGAGTACGATCCTTTGTCATCTAGGCGAGCGGATGACGGCTGCGGAGAACCACATAAAGATAAGAAGGGGTATCTTCCAGGGCGATTATTTGAGTCCAATCTGGTTCTGCCTCTCTCTGAACCCTCTCAGTACCTTACTGGAGGGCTCCGGGAGGGGATTTCAACTTCGGAAGGGAGGTACAAAAGTGAGCCACCTTTTCTATATGGATGATCTCAAGTTATTCGCCTCCAGTCGCTCTCATCTTATGGAATTGCTAAACATCACTTGTGATTTTAGCAATTCTATTAGAATGGAGGTGGGGACGGATAAGTGTGCGGTCCTCCATGTTGAAAGGGGAAGGGTTGCTTACTCTGAGGGCATAGATTTATCTATGCCCATCAACATAAGGACCCTTTCCGAGGCTGAAATATACCGATACCTGGGTATGTCACAGAACATCGGTGTAGATGAGGCGGGTATGAAACAGTCAGTTTGCGTTGTGTTTTATGCACGCTTGACCAAAGTGCTTAACAGCCTTTTGTCCGGTGTGAATAAGACGCACGCATATAACGGTTGGGTCATGCCTGTTCTCATGTACACCTTTGGCATACTTAGGTGGACTCAGACCGAACTAAACGCTCTGGACAGAAAAGTCCGCACTATAATGACGTCCCACAGGATGCATCATCCGAGATCGTCAGTAATGAGGCTGTACTTGCCGCGGAAGCATTGTGTGCGCGGCTTTTTAAGCGCGCTTACCATGCATAATCGCGAAGTGTGCAGCCTCCGTAATTACTTTCTGACGAGAGCGGATGATCCATACTATAGGGGTGTTATTTCTTGTGATAAAGGACTTACCCCTCTATCCTTAGCCAACGAGCAATGGCGGGACCCGGCAGTACAGAGCATTTCCGACCGGGAGTCCGTATGGAAGGAGAAGGAGCTCCACGGGAGGTTCTACAAGGTTCTACACGACCTTTTCGTAGACACAGTCGCCTCCCTCCACTGGCTACGTTTCGGTGACCTCTTTGGGGAAACCGAGGGTTTTGTCTGTGCGATACAGGACCAGGTTATTAAGACCAACAATTATCGGAGATACATCCTAAAGGATGGCACCGTCGACGTCTGTCGAGCTTGTCGCCACCCCGGTGAGTTACTTAGGCATGTCATCTCCGGTTGTTCGGCGCTTTCTAACTCTGAGTATTTGCACAGACACAACTTAGTAGCCAGGATTCTACACCAGGAGCTCGCTCTGAAATGCGGTCTCGTGGATCGGAAACTGCCGTATTATAAGTACTTGCCGGAAGCCGTACTCGAAAATAACCGCGCCAGGCTCTACTGGGACCGGGCCATCATCACAGACAGGACTATTCTTGCGAATAAGCCTGATATTGTGCTGATGGACCGGGCACAGTCAAGGATATTTTTGGTCGACATTACCATTCCTTATGACGAGAACCTCGTGAAAGCCGAAACAGATAAGCTGACAAAATATCTGGACCTGGCTCACGAGGTGACCGACATGTGGGGTGGACTGCCGGCCGAAGTTATACCTGTAGTCGTCTCTGCGAATGGGGTAATTCCAATCAGCCTCTCGGGTCATCTGAGGTGACTGGGACTCCGTGACGGACCGCTCCATGCTCAAATGCAGAAGGCGGTGCTCCTCGATACTGCCCGCATCGTCCGCCGGTTTCTTTCCCTTTCCCCTTAACCCTCGGCCGTTTGGTCTCCCCTGCCGAGGGCTTCCATCTGGTTGGGTTTTTATATTCTTATGTATTTTTTATGTATTTATTTTATTTTATTGATATTTATGTACGTTTACCATGATTATTTACAATTATATATTTATATTTCCCAACCAGATGAGAAAACTTTATAGATACCACATAATAATTTATTTAATACAGACAACACAGATCCATTACAAAATTAAAATTAAATTTTTTAAAACTCTACCTTAAATTTTATTTATAATTATTGGTTAATCAATGATATTATTACATTTAATAATAACATTTTAATAAATTTGACCATCTACTAAAAATTTCACTACATGCATACATATTACAAATAATTTTGATGAGATTATTCTGCGACCCAAAAACAAAACTTCTAAACCGCGCGACACGGTGACGGATCAACGCATCCAAACCAACGACACGGGCCTCTGCGAACATCTGAGACGCGCTACAGTATCGTGGATGACGGAACAACACGCGGAACGAATCATTATACTGCACCTTCAGC